CCTCTGCCGCGTCATCACGGGCTGGGGCAAGTCACGCAAGGCCGGGTCTTAGGGTTCAGGGCTCAGGATGTGAAGGGTTCAGGGTTTAGGTTTTGGGCTTGAGGCTTGCAGGGCTTGGAGGGCTAAGGATGTGAAGGGTTTAGGGTTTAGGGAGTACGGTTTAGGGTTGAGGGTTTAGGGTTCAGGGTTTAGGGAAACAAGTGCAGAGCACTTACGACTTTGCGGTCTGGTGCTCGAGAGTTGACTTCTCAAAAATGGGTATGTGTACATATGGGTTCAAAATTATGGTCCCTTTTTGGGTCCCTAAAATAGTACGGCACCTATTATTTAGGGTACCCCAAAAGGGACCATAATTTTGACAACCACCCATATGCACCATAAATCGCGTGATTGCAGCTAGTGATGTGTCATGCGCGAGGAGCTCACGTGCACAAACCTTGGCTGCATCTGTGAGTGGCTACACGGCAACACGATTCATGCAATATATAGGTGGCCGAGGAATAGTAGCTGTAACTACCTTAACCTACGACCTACGTGCACGTGTTTGCTGTGGATTCTTATTATAAGCCCTGTATAATATAGAGTGAATAAATGCATATACATATATGCATATACACATTCTTTTGGAAATTGTGGGGACCCTAAGATTGTATTAGGCCAAAGTGTACGGTAACTCTGCCCAGTGGAGGAGGGCCCGCTCCCGGTCACTGCTCGAGAGGCTAGAAGAAGTAGTGAAAGGGGTGGTTCTCTATAAGGTAAAAGCCAGAAAGTTGGAATATGATTATCCTAACCCTTCTATGGTAAATTATAGGGTATCCTACCATGAAACCATATTCCAACTTTCTGGAGTTCCCTGTATTAGGGTCGTTTCTAGGTCCTTTTGACGTAAGGGTGCCGTAGTCAAGCGCAGATTTGGTGGATCCTGGCAAAGCTCCGCCGGTGAAGGCTGAAGCTATTACCTTGTACGCCGGGGCTTCAGAGAACCTAGAACCTTTTCTGAGCTTTGCGAGGGCAAGGCTACTCTATGGAACTTAAACCCAACATAAACATAATATACTAGAGCTCTAAACCCTAAACCCTATACCCTGAACCCTGTACCCTGTGAGCCAAGAACCCCAAAGGTCACTAAAGACTACATGCACCACATCCCAGAGCCGAAGCCTCAGCCCTCAGCACGGGCACAGCAGAAAGCGGCAACCCATGAAACTCACAGCAAAAGGCAGAAGACTTGAGTTCAAAGAAAGAAACCCTCAGCATGCCTCAGCCTCTCAGAGCCCAGTCCCTCAACCCCCCCCCCCCCCCCCCCCCCCCCCCCCACAAAAAAAAAGCATTGAAGCCGAAAGTGATGAAGTTGAGTATGAATTCAAGGTTGCGTGAAGGCAAATATAGGGTTTTTACGGTGTACTGTATCCTTTATATCTCCGTAAAGTCAAAAGACGAACAGCCGATTGCCCGAAGGCGTGGCGGGACTCCGACGTCAAGGCTGCAGTCGCGCTTTTCCTCTCCACGCGGGGCTTCGTGACCACATCACAAGAATTACAGGCACCCGGGAGCCCCGAAACCTTAGACCCTAAGCCCTAAACCTTAAACCCTAAACCTTGAACCCTAAAACCCTAAACCTTAAACCCTATCCCCTAAACCTTGAACCCTGACCCTAAACCTTAAACCCTAAACCCTAAACCTTAAACCCTAAACCCTAAACCTTGAACCCTGACCCTAAACCTTAAACCCTAAACCTTAAACCCTAAACCTTGAACCCTAAAACCCTAAAAGGATGAGGGGTTCTTTAAGAAGGACTTCTAGAGGGGCTCCTTACACAGGGTTCTCAAACGTTCGGATTTCTTTGAAGGGGTTCTCGAGAGATCACAAAAGGGCCGTCACGATTTCTAGCAGAGGCTTTATATATAAGGAATTCTGTAAAGTTCGAAGGGGAGCTTTACATGTCTTCGCCCAAAACCCTAAACCCTCGGGGTTCGGCTTTCGGGCTTTTTGGTGTCAGATGTCGTCAGCGTTGAACGAAGGTTTCACAGGTTCAGGGTCTGGGGGTTGGGCTTGGGGGTTGAACGCCTGGGTTCAGTATTTCGGGCTTTTTAGGGTGTTTTTTGAAGGTTTGGGGTTCAAGGGTCTAAGGTTGTGTTCGTTTTTATTCCAACACTTCAATTATTTACGCACGAACTCTCATATTCAGTCCAGACTTGGCGATGTCATATGGGTCGTTCTGTAAAAGGAGGTTTCCGAAAATAAGGGGACTCTAATACAATATCCCGAATAGTAGAATCCTTAAAATAAGGACCCCCCCCCCCCCTCAAAAAAAAAAAGGTGCCCCTGACTTTCGGAAACTCCCAAATTGGGGTGCGCTATGGGATCCTGAGAAGACTTCGTCGCTCTTATCATGAAGTAAGGGATATACGGTTGATGCTACAAATCCTGCATTATCTTAAGGACCCTAAACTATGGGAATTATGGTATATTCCTTATTACGGGTAATGCAGGATGTTTATCATCAACCGTAGTTTAAGTTACGTACCATACTTGGAGGTTCATGGGTAGCTAGAAGGGGTTTTAGAAGTCCCCGAAGATGGGTTATAGTTATAGTTTCCCTACTTAGAACTCCACTTATAACTACCTGTGAACCTCGAAGTAATAGGTATCCACAGTAACGATGTGGTTTCATTGTTACGGCAACTTAGATGAAATCCCTCAACAAGAACACAGTCTGATCATGAAGGAGCCCTTCAGTGGACGCTAAGTTAGAGAGCCCTTGTCGTCCTTTTGTGACTGGGTTCGAGAGCTTTCGACAACTTCTCGGCGGGGCTCAGTCTAAATGCTAGAGCCCCATTGGACCCCATCGGTATGGCAGTGGTATGGCATGGGTTCGTTTTGGATGAGTTAAATGCAGTTCGCTTTGTTTGCGTATGTTTCTCTCAAAGCAGTAAGTAGGGCTTAGAGTGGCGATTGTAGATCTGCAAGAAAAACTGCACCGGATCTCCACACCCCGGCCTGAAATCCGGCTAGCAAAATGAAAACCGCAAGCATCTCAGCCCTGAACCCTTCGTTTCTCTCATATCCCAGGGCTGGATTGAGCTCACACTTCGACAGAAAGATCTCCGGCCACCACCTCCGCAACGGAAAGAAAGGGACCGCTTCGTTTGTCATCCCCTGAACCCTAAGGCCTAAATCCTGAACCCCTAAACCCCTAAGCCCTAAACTCCTAAACCCCGAAACCCCTTGTCCTACGATCTCGGGCTCATGTAGGGACCTAAGTAAGCAAAATAATCACGGTAAAAGTTTAGCCCCCCCCCCCAAACGCTAGTATACTATACCCCAACACCCTGGTATGATATCCCTCAAACCCTATTCTAGATATTTCATGACATTTAGATGCGTTTATTAAGTGTTTTCCTGTTTTGTCTGGTCAGGTCTTGTGGGGCATCAGAGGGATGTGCATGGGATCTTCTGGGGCTTCAAGGTGTTGGCTAGTTGCCCTAAACCCTACACCCTAAACCGTGATGCTCATGGCTTGATCCAGCACCGGAGCTTATGATGTTACAGTTCGCCAACCCTATATAGGGAACTCCAGAAAGTTGGAATATGGTTTCATGGTAGGATACCTTATAATTTACCATAAAGGGTTTAGGATAACCATATTCCAACTTTCTGGCTTTTACTATATAGCAGAAACTCTACGGCTTTCAGCATGTCAGGCTTTCAGGGTGCGGAGTTTGTTTATGCATGGAGGTTCCTGGTCAGATGCAGCGATGTCACGAGGCTTTTACGCTGGCGGTTTCAATGGCTCAGCAGTCAGCAGCTCACAGCTAGGGTTCTGCCCAAATGACTTATCTTTGTAAGGACTCATATCATGAAATCGTAATAAGGAGCCCTAAAAATGTAGGTTCCTTAGGGTCCAGGTAGGACTTACCGGTGGGGGGTTTAAGGGCCTTTCGGGGTTTATGGCTGGAGGCCTTGGTAGGTTCGGCCGCGCGGTTCCTTGCGGCTTATGTCCCAGAACCCAAACTCTCTTCGAATCATAAAGGACCCTCTATTAACCCGGAGACCCAAAATCGGTTTAATCAGAGACCTAAACCTGAAACCTCAAACCCTGACCCTGACCTCGACGGCCCGAACTCCTGAACCTCTAACCCACTCAGGCCCAACCCATAAGTCAGTACTCGTTAAGACGGGTTTGGGTTTCTGCCATGGGAATCTCCGAAATGCTCTCTCTGTTTCAAGTCAGGGTTTCGAGCCCACCAGTGGTTGTTTAGGATGTTTGGTCGTGTGTGCAACGCGCAGGGGTTTATGATCCCTAAACCCTAAACTACACGAAACCCTAAACCCTAAACCCTCAATAAATAAATAGGAATTGCTTGTCGTTGCTGGCGTTGAGCCCCATAAACCGTCCATTTCAAGCCCAACCCAGCCCAAAGCCAGATTCCAGTCACAAAGCCCACCCAAATTCAAATCAGGTTCCAGTTGAAAAACTCACCCAAAATTCAACATCAAGTTCCAGTCCCCTTAGCCACACAACTCCACCCCCAACCAGCCCAACAAGCCCAGCGCCCAGCCCAGCCCAGCCCCAGCCCCCAAGCCGCCCCAAATTCACCCGCCCAGCCCGCCCAAAAGCAGCCCAGCCCAGCACCCAATTTTCCAAAATCAGACTTCAGTCAGAAAACCTGCTCAAAACTTTCGCTCAGAACGTTTCGCTCAAAACTTATTGGCACCCAAACCCTTAACAACTTCTTTTAACACTAAACCCTAAATCCTCAACCCCCAACGGTAAATCCTAAGCCCTAACCTCTAAGCCCATAAACCCTAAACCAACTGAGCACTAAACTTTAGGGTTTAGGGTTTACAAAAGCAAGATGTGGCCAGGGGTAAAAGGAGGGACCCTTAACAAGGACCCCTAGGTTTCTACCCTTAATATAGCTATTATATATACCCATTACATAGCCCATCATAGAGTGGGGGTCCCCATTAAGGGTCCCCTTTGAAGATGTGGCCAGGGGCTGCGAGATGGAGGCGCCAACTGCTCTTTCGTTGGGACGTCTCCATAATTCGAGGTTCATGGGTAGTTATAAGGGTTCCTTTAAGGGCCCCATTAAAGGGATCTATAGGGATTCTATAAGGGTATACGGTTTAGGGTCTACTTGGAGGTTCATGGATAGTTATAAGTATAGGTAGGGCAACGATAATTACAATCCATACTAGGGACTTACAACTCCACTTATAACTATATCCATGAACCTCCAAGTAGGGATCCGGATTGCAGCATCGAGAGTTCAGGTCGATCGCCACAGCATAGGGGCCTAAATAATTATCCAGAGTATCTTTGGGGTTCCCTATTAGAATTATAGTATGATGGGCCCCAAGGCCCCGCATTAAGGCCATATATTACAGACCTACCTTATGTGTGGATGCTACGCATGGCGTCAACGAAGTTTGGACCGCGAAGAGATACGACTGGCCAGTCTTACGAATCTGCTTGTCGCCTTTCTGCATCAGGTCAAACTGTCATCATTTGTTATCATGAGCCTCATGTACTAATGAACTACATGTTGCTATCGTTACTATCATCATCACCATCCTCGTCATCATCATCACCACCTTGTTTACGATTGTCAATACATAAGGTTCAGGATGAGTGACTTTATGTATGGTTAGAGATTTTGGGCTGAGGTGATGAGGGCCTACCTAGGTCTAGTAGTCTCGGCCTGGACCCCCCAAAACCACGACCGTAACTGTTGCGGGTGTTGGCGAATTAGGGTATTCGTAGGGTATTAGAGTATTCGGGTATTAGGGTAGCAGGGCATTAGGCCAGTAGGGTACTAGGGTATTAGGGTATTCAGGTATATCTTAGAGTGTTACGGTATCAGGGTTTCGGGCATCAGGGTGCTAGGGTTTAGGGTTGAAGTTTGATCCAGCAGCAAAACCCAAGCTCTCCACCCTGAACCTACCAACAGCAAGGACCGTGGCGCGATATTTCTCGGTAATTCATCCTTGCTGGCGTCCCCAAACCCCAATCGCAGGCCCCAAGTCAAAAGTGTCGCTGCGTCGCTGAGCTTCGCAATTTTCAACCGTGGCCTTCAGGCTGTGTAACCCCTGACAGAGGAAGCTTTCCAGTCAGCCAGAGAGACAGGGTTTTGGGGCTTAGGGTTGAGACAGACACCTTCTTGCATGTCCTAGAGGGGGTCAAGGTAGGGCTTAGTGCCTAGGGATTGGCGTGTCGTAATCTGCAGGCCCCTTTATCACTCAGTAAGCCTCGCAGCCACCCAGGCCTCGATGAGACTGCCTGGCTCTTTTGGCTGAGAGTTTGCGCAGTGTGGGATTAGGGCTTGGGTGCATTTGGGGGGTTTAAGGCTTAAGGTTTACGAGCTTCGTGGGAAAGGGTCAGGATTTTGCGTTGGACGTGGTTCTCGGGATTTCTTGTGGCGGGTGGGGAGTTTGGTTGAGGAGTTTGGCGAACACTAAGGCACCCTAAACCCTAAGCCCTGAACCCCACAGTTAGAATATATATATATATATATATATATATATTAAGATATATAATCAAAATAGTCGGAGGTATAATATTTTCCATAAAAGGCACCGAAGACTTGGCTTCTCAGGCTCCAGGACGACGCGGGCCTCGATCTGAAGGATCCGAAAAGTAGATCCCCAAAGGAGCCCTAAACCCTAAACCCTAAACCGTAGGGTTTAGGGTTTAGGGTTTGGGAAGGGAACCCTTAGAGGAACCCTTAAGGACACCTTGAAGGAGCCCTTAGTGGGGGTTCCTATAAGGTACCCTGTGGTAGTAGAGGGTCCCAGTGGGGGGGGGGGGAGGGTTACGCTCTACATCCCCTCATGGGTTTAAGCCATAAGCGCAAACTCCCGAAAGATCTTCAGCAAGCACTAACCCCAGAACCGTAAACCCGCAAACCTAAAACTTTACGAAGAGCCCCAACCCTGCCCTCCAGCCTACAGCTTTACAGATCCCCAATCCCTGAAGCCTTAAAGAGCTTTTTCAAGCCCCAGGATTCCGCAGGTTAAGGCTCCTGGACCCTTGTAGTGAGATCCCGGACCCTAGCCCCCAAAACCGAAACCCTCCTCCAGAAAGCCCAAGACCCTCTTAGGAGCCTTAGGGCAAGCCCCAGGATTTGCCCTAAACCCTAAACCCTAAACCCTCAGGTTTAGGTTTTAGGGGTTTAGGGTTTGAGGTCTAGGGCATGGAGCACTCGACAAAAGTTCAAAGCAGCTGCCCTGCCACGGCAAAGCCCAAACCCTAAACTAAAATCCCTACCTATAGTCTCCACTGTAGTTCCTTTATTTCGTTAACCAAAATCTCTATTTAGGGATCCTAACCATAAAACTGGGGTAAACCCTAAACCCTAAACCCCTAAACCCCAAACCCTAAACCCCTAAACCCCAAACCCTAAATCCTAAACCCCTAAACCCTTAAACCGCGCAGCTTCCTTGGCCAGGCCTGGACTGGGGCCCTGCCCTGCGAGTAGCAGGGGCCTTAGAGTTTTACAGCTACGATTTGGAGGTGAGGGTTTAGGGAATGCCAGTGTTGTCCCTTGGTGCTCCTTAACATATAAAGCCCGTTCAGGGTTGAGGGTTTAGGGTTGAGGGAGTAGGGTTTAGGGTTCAGGGTTTAGGGTTGAGGGATTAGGGTTTAGGGTTGAGGGATTAGGGTCTAGGGTTTAGGGTTTAGGGGTTAGGGTTTAGGGTTTACCAGGCCCCAAAGTAGTTCCTTGTTGGGGTTCATATATAGAATCCTATAAGGTAATCCTCCAAAGGAACTACTTTGAAACCTATAATTAGGGCCTAGATACTCCACTGTTTCTGGTTTAGTGGAAGGATAAGGGTTGAAGGGTTTGGTTGTAGGGTTTAGGGTTCTATGGTTTTGGGCTCAACTGTTTTCGGGTTTCCTGCCTGGGGCTTCCGGGCTACTGTTTACGGCTCAGGGGTTTAGGGTTTAGGGGTTGGAGGGTGTTTTGCTCGGCTTTGGACTTGTTCAGGTCCTTCGCTTGGAGTAGAATCTTGAGCGGATACGATGTGATGTCTAGGTTCAACTCTGATAAATACCGCGGCACTTCTTGAATCTTGAGCGGATACGATGTTGTGATGTCTAGGTTCAACTCTGATGAATACCGCGGCACGTCTTGTTAGTGGCACGTATCGCAAAGCCCTCCTCGTAAGGTAATGGCTACAAGATAACCCGTGAAGAGCACATGTGACGTAGGTTCATATTACAAGCAGCCCAATCATAAAACCCAAGATGTAAACTCACCAGCATCCTCCATGACGTAGACATCTGAATCTGTAGACGGCAGCAAACTTCGTTTGAGCGCGGGGATTCGAGCACTCAAATACATGCAGATTTTAGAGCCCCTGTGCCTGTGGAAGTCTTGTATAGAACCTTTCTAGCATGATATTATAGCCCACAGCTCCAAAAACCCTAAACCCTAAACCCCTTGAACCTTAAACCTCGAACCCTAAACCATCAACCCTATGCTGCAAAACGTCACTCAACCAAAAGACCCGTATAGATCCCCAATTCGAATTCCTATAGAGACCCCCAAATGAGCCGTATGGAACCCTTACCCAGAGGGCCCATATTTACGAATTGGGTTTCAAAAGACCACCTTATCATGGTTTAGTGCAAAGGTTTTAGGGTTTGGTGAACTAGTTCTACAATAGCAGTACATATGGACCCTCTATGTTATAGAAGACATCGCTTCATGCGCCAGGTAGCTCCCGGCCGGCCAGAGTCCCGGAAGTGTCCAAGTTGAGCGGGTTTACCTTACGTAGCCTACCAAACCTAATTTTGTAGCTCCTTGCTGTACAAACACGAAGATGGAAAATTGGTCCGGGCCCTACAGCACATGGGTTCTGGTGGTTTTGAAAAGGGGAGGCGGCTTAATTTCCAGGGCCTAGGGTTGAGGGTGTTGGGTTGGGGGTTGGTAGGTTCAGGGTCTCGGAGTTGGGCCAGAGTTTCGGGCCTGCTTTACGGTTTAAATAAGGGTTTAGGGTGTAACGTTTAGGGTTTAAATAAGGGTTTAGGGTTTAACATTTAGGGTTTAAATGAGGGTTTAGGGTTTAACGTTTAGGGTTTAAATAAGGGTTTAGGGTTTCGGAAATAACCCAAATCCGAAACCTACATACACCTCGCCTAACCCTTGAGCAGCTGTGTCAGCACATGTGGGGGTTTTCGAAAATAGGGGCCCCCCTTATTTTCGGAAACTCCCATGTTTCTTGGCAAACCCTAAACCCTAGACCCTGATTGCATGGCCTCCCTGGCGCTTAGTAGGGAATGTGGGAATGGATCCCTATAGTAGTCCCTACATAGTCCCCAATAACTGTGGATCCAAAAGCCTACCGTTTTAAGGGTCACAGGTATAATAGTCTCCATAATCCATTCCCCCATTCCCCACTAAGAACCAGTGGCAGACAGGCCCAAGGCGCCCGACACGACAGCTTTCACGCGGGGCACTGGCTCAGTAGGCTCTAGAAAAGCCAGGCTAATGGACTTCATGCATAATGTAAGTGCCTTAATTAGTACCAATACTATGTTGGGAGCTCCTAATTAAAATTATAGTATAGTACATTTTACCCCAAACCCTATTCTAATTATCAGGCCTCTACATTATAGGGTCCAGAATTTAGGGATTAGGGTTCCTCAGAACCCCTCAGAATCAAGATCATGTAGAACCGCACCGATGTGGCTTTGGATGAGGTTCAGCGCTACACTGGAACGCTGATTTCCATCCATCAAGCCGGCTATGGTTGGATTAGGCCGGGTCCCGGGTATGGCAAAGCATGTGCGTGAGCCCTTGAGCCCTCGACAGCGACAGCTCCATCCACGTGTGTATAGGTTTGGGTGTAGATGTGTTTTCGGCCCAGCCTATCTTCGCCAAAATCAGGCGAAGTTCTCTTCCTCCTTCCCTCCGAGACGCTGGTCATAGATCCCTGATTAATGGCTCCTGCTTTTATAGGAGGGTGATACGTAACCCTGCTAGGCACCTTAAAGGATCCCTTGGCGCCCTGGAGCATATCCGGGTAGGTCGGATGGGCTCAACAAGAACGCTTGGGTGGCCAAGTCCCTTGGCTGCAAGACCGAAACTCGAAGGCCTAAAACCCCTAAGCCCTAAACCCCCAAAACCCTAAACCCTAAACCCGAAACTCGAAGCCCTAAAACCCCGAAGCCCTAAAACCCCTAAGCCCTAAACCCTTAAACCCTAAACCCCTAAACCCTAAACCCTAAACCCAAAACCCTAAACCCAAAACCCAAAACCCTAAAACCCCTAAAACCCCTAAGCCCTAAATAACCCCCAAACCCTAAACCCGAACCCTCAACTTGCCCCAGGGAGCCCAGCTATCTATGCCTTGTGGTTGCGGTCCCGGTTGTGTCCCACAAACCCTGCCATGCATATGTAGATGTACATATATACATACGTACACACACACACACACACAACAGACATACTGACATATACATTAGAAGGGGCCCCCACCCTGTAATAGTGGTATAATAATAATAGCCATAGAATAGGGCCCTACTATAATCCTTATAGTCACTATTACAGGGTGGGGGCAGCTTCTAACATATACATATACATATAAGTACCTTATACTGCCCAGAAGCCTGCAGTCGACCATAGTACCCCAAATCCCAAGTAGTCTATTGTGTCGGGGAGTATGTGTTCAAGGCATGTGGGAGTTCCCGAAAATTAGGGGGTACTTTTTGGGGGGGTCCCGATAGTAAGGATCCTACTATTTAGGGTACTATGTTAGGGTCCCCTAATTTCGGAAACTCCCATGTGAGTCTCCCGCCATACCGGCTGGTTGTCCCATCTAGCGGGAGGCTTGAACAGGGTTGTACCTAAACCCTGAACCCATAAACCCCATTAAACCCTAAACCCCAAACCCTAGACCCTAAACCGTCGATCTCCACCCGTCAGGGCATCTGGGAGTTGTGGATGCCCTGGGCCCTCCTGGGTTTCGGTTAGGGGTTGCTATAGTTGATGACATAAATCCTGCATTACCCCAAGGACCCTAATCTCTGGGAATTATGGAACATTCCTTATTATGCGTAATGCAGGATTTATATCATCAACCGTATAGTAAGGCAGGGGTTATGACCAGGGGTCGACAAGGGTTTAGGGTTTAGGGTTTAGGGCTTAGGGTTTGGGGTTTAGGGGTTTAGGGGTTTAGGGTTTAGGGGTTTAGGGTTTAGGGTTTTTAGGGTTTAGGGATTAAGGGAAAGGGTTTCGAGTTAAGGTTCAGAGCTTGGGTGGGGTTGAGGAGAACCTTAGGTTGAAATCTAAGGTTATGGTATGTTCAGTCTTCGGGCTTAACTGTGAAGTTAAGGTTCCGGTTTTGAGTTGATTTTTTGCGTGTTTTTGACTGCTTCGCCTATTACCACAAACTGCCGCCATAGTTGCAAGCCAACCGCAGTCCCTGTCTCGATCCTCAAGTCCCACACCAGCAACTCCGAAAGCTAAAGCTAAACCCACAATTTAAAGAGTCTAAACGGTGAGAACCCCGACGATATTACCGCAACGCACCTCAAGTCCTAAACAAAAAACATCAACACCAAAACCATTTTCCTGACAGTCCCTGTGTAATTGTAGTCTCACGCAAGGATCCAAACCCCAGTCTGGTACTCGAACTGTCAGGGCCCCTATCCCCAAGACTCCAAACAGCCCAAAGTAGGTAACATTTATAGACTTTAGACCCCAAAGTAGGTACTGTTTGTATACTTGGAGTCTTAGGGTATATGAGGCCCTTCCACATGGCCGCTTGCAGCTACCAAGGAAGTTCATTGAGGGCATTCCGCTTCAGAGCCGCGTCAGCTTCCGAACTCAGGCGCCGAGCCTCCCCCGCGGCTCCATTGAGGGTCTAGGCTTTGCCTGGACCCTAAAGAACCTACCTTTTTAGGGTTCCTTGTGATGATTTCCTTATATAAGTCCTTAAAAAGTTAGGTTATTCGGGGTTAAGGTAGGGCTTAAGGTTTCAGAATCCAGGGTTCAGGGCCCTTAGCATGAGGTGCGCTGAGAACTTAAAGTAGCAAGTGTTCAGGTACTATGGTATGATCAGCTTTCAGGGTGTTTATAGTACAGGGTGTGGCAGGACTACCTCAACGCTTTAAGGCTTCCCGGGTGCAGAAGGATTATATCGACCGCTTCCACCAACGGAGCATGGGTCGGGGCCTCGGACCTTAAACCCCTCAACCCAGAAACTTAAATCCGAAACCTGAAGCCTAAACCAACCTACCAACCTAGATCTAGATGTAGATCCTGTCCCCTGTTGACCCTAACTCCCCGAAACGCTGAACCGTAAACAAAGAGAGTAGGAGCCCTACCGCAAGAAAGCGGTTACGCGTTTTCAACGCCTCCTACATTTTTCACGAGGAAGTTGAGGGGTTGGGATTCTCAGGTTTTCGTGGTTCCGGCAACACCACGTCAAAGTTGGAAGCCCGAATCAGGTGAATGACAGAGGCCTGGCTGCTGTCAATGTTCAGCTGGAAGAGGCAAGGTGGGCACATTAAATGGCCTAGTGTCTAGGAAGATTTGAGGTTGTTAGGGTTTGTGATTGGGGTGCCGGGGTTTCGGGCTTTTAATGGGGTCATGCTGACATGCTGAATGGTTTTGGCTTTGCAGCTTCTTTGGTTTGGGTTTAGGGGCTCAAGGCTTACAGCTCTTTTCCCTAAATGGGAGTTTCCGAAAATTGGGGGGACCGTAGTTTGGGGTCCTTATAAAAAGGGTCCTACTATTTGGGGTACTATAGTACGGTTCCCTATTTTTGGAAACTCCCAAGATAAACCGTAACCCCAAATCCCTAAGCCCGAACCTTCCTCGCAAGTCTTTCTTCTTTCGATCATGGGCTCGATGTATCAGGGGCATTGCATGGCGACATGCGCGCCAGAGTGCCGGCTTTAGGGTCTAGAGAGGTTGGGGTTTAGGGGTTTAGGGGTTTAGGGGTTTAGGGGTTTAGGGGTTTTAGGGGTTTTAGGGGTTTGGGGTTCAGGGATTTAGGGTTTTGGGGGTTTAGGCTTACGGGTTGAGGGGTTTAGGGTTTTGGGGGTTTGGGGTTTAGGGGTTTAGGGTTTTGGGGGTGTGGCTTCTGTTTTCGTTTCGGCTTTCGCAGTTTAATGGTGTCCCGTTGGGGCTTTCGGGTCCATGAAGGGCTACACCTCTTCTCCAAATTGCCTCACGTCGAGCCCACGACGAAGCCCGAAACCGTACAATCCAGCACCCGAAAGAAATTCAACATAGGCGTCTTAATAATTGAATAGGGCTTCTGGGTATACTATAGTATGATGCTGATGAGGAACTCTGAGAAAAATAATGGTAGTTCCCTATATTATCCCCTCAACCCAGGATTTTTGATTAAAGCCCTGAGCCTTAAACCCGAACGCCTCTTTCTTAGCTCTGGACCCATCGGCAGTAACACCACAAACCTTCACAGGCCTTAAAACATTTCCAAATTCTCGAAAACCTTTCAAAACCCTGTACAACCCCTGGCAAAGCCGATGAACACTTATCAATGGTGAGCACACCCTTTTGTAGTAGAACCCGAGAACACGTTGTAAAGCTTTATGAAACCCTATAAAGATTACAAAACCCTGCAGCACCCTGGAAAGCTTCATGGAAACCTAAAAACAAGCCCTTAGCCTTAGCCCGTAACTCAAGGCCGAGGCCGCGTACCTTCGAAGGTGGTCTTCGACCGATGGCGCCGAACGACCCAATACGCTCCCTCGCCTTTTACATCCCAGGCGAATAGTAGCATCCACGTCGTACCGTACCCGGTGCCGGAACACGTTTCCTTCGGGACCAGTACTTGTGCGGTGCACTCGACACAGCCTTGTCGCAAGATGCTTATCGCGCACGCGCTATTCCGCGGCAAGCCCTAAACCCTAAATGCAAACCCTACGCCCAGATCCTAAACCCTAAGCTCAAGCTCCCCAAACCCTATGGAAATCTAATCGCTGCATGTTCACCAGAAGGCTCCTGCAGCCGAGGATGCGGAGACGGGGCAAGGCCTGTTCAAGATGGTTGTAGACGTATCCGGGGTTTAGGGGCTGGGGTTGAGGGGTTTGGAGGACTGGGGTTTCGGGTTTAGGGGTTCAGAGGTTTAGGGGTTTGGAGGTTTAGGGGTTTCGGGGTTTAGGGTTTGGGTTTTACGGGTCAAGGGTTTGGGATGTTTGTAAAGGTTTCCGGGGATTAAGGTCTTAGAGCGTAGGGACCAGGGTTGTTGCACAACTGGACCCTAGACAACCTGTGATTATGATTACCTTATACATGTTCTTGAAACAGGTAGGTCATATTATTTAGGTCCCAGGAAGATTTTGATCTTGTTCTTATGGTGTTGTCATATACCATCCTGTATTCATACTAATCCACGAATCCTATGACCCAAATTGTAAGCGATCAGCAAATCCTTCAGTCCTTTGTCAGTTAATATGACATCATTGTACAAAGCACCCTTGGTCGGCCCCAAACCCAATCTCGGTTCTTGCTAAGGAGCTTAATTATTTAAGCTACCATAGTCGAGATTATGGTAAATAATATGGCTTCCTTATTAGGGTGGATTAGGGTGGCCTAAGTTATACGGGTGGTTGTCAAAATTGTAAAAGGGATCCTAAATGTGACAACCACCCATATTCCTTAACAAGAACCCAGCACTGAGGGTCGGGACCTGAGGACCGCAATCCCGAAAGCTCCGCAGTTTGAACTATTGCAGCTCCGAAAGTTCATACCTATAGTCTCCATTGTAGTTCCTTTTTTTGGTTAACCAGTTTTATGGTTAGGATCCTATAATGGGGGTTTTGGTTAGCCAAAAAAGGAACTACAATGGAGACTATAGGTATGACATCATTGTACAAAGAAGCCCCGAAAGCCCTGCACCAATCATCCCTTCAGCAGAACACCTGTACCTTAACCTCCCAAACCCCGCTTTTTTTGGAGGTTCGTAGTATGAACCCTAATATGGAATTTATAGGGACGCTAGAAAAATGCCGGTTTTGGTAGGTTAAGGTATCTATGGGAGAATCCCTCATATGAATTAATGAGTACTTTCTGAAGTTGGGTATGTTGGAAGATCGGTTAGACTCACAGACCTACGCCCAAGTCGTAGACCCCAAGCTGCGTACCAGAGCCTATTCCTGTCGTTTCCAAACCAGTTAGATTGTGGACGATGGCACCCTCCAGCTGAACCGAAACCTACACTCCCTTTGGTGTTATGTAAGGAACCCCTGAACCCTAAACCCCAAACACAGACTCTCGGGGTAAAGAATTCCAGCTTCCCTAATTCACTGCTATGTTGAAGCCTAGCGCTCTGATCCGGCGCATCCTGATCTCTAAACCCTGAGCGCTGCTCCACCTTATCCCCTGGATACCCGTCCCAGGGTCAGAAGTTGCTTAACCTATCTTGTTGTAGGGTCGGGTTTACCCTAAGGGTCCTAACACTTTAGGGAACCTCAGAATGTAGGATTTGTGAGACCCCAAAGAGACCCGAGGGCTCTCCCTAGGAGATTCGGACCCTCCTAAGGAGATACCTGGACCCTTAAGGTCCTGAACAAGTTCTCGTTTTTTTAGGTTTAGGGTTTAGGGTAGTGTTAGGGTCCCGACTTCCACAGTTAAGTTACGCAATTCCTGAGGGCTCTCTGATTTCCGTGTAATACACCCCAAAGCCCTAGTCTAATCATTATTCAGGCCCGTAGAATTGGGTTCTAGGTTTCATACGGCTTCTTTCTGGCAGATTCCACCCGTGCATTGTTGCGCTCAAAAGCAAGTTCTCGAGGAGTTTAGGATCTGACTCCTAGCCGCCAGAGCCTAAGCCTCCAGCCGAAACCTAAATCCTGATGCCTATACTATAGAACCTTACTCCCACCCCCAAAAAAGAAAAGACCCCAAACACCTAAGTATCCATAGACAATAGAAGAACATGAACGCGAATCAGGTCAGCCCTTGCCCTTGAAGTACGAGGGCATCCTAAAGAAGGCCAGTCTTTTCGGCGTGTGTCTCGGGAAAATCGGCGTTTGGGCTTGATGTGGCTGGTGATTATGTTTGTATTCTGCCGTGGTGTTTCATAATGGTTCTGCGAGCCTTGAGTTTCCCTAAGACTCCAAGTATAGAAATAGTACCTACTTTGGGATCTAAAGTGTATAAATACTACCTACTTTGGGCTATTTGGAGTCTTAGGGTTTAGGGTTGTTTAGGTTGCAATGCGGGAGTCGTATAGTAAATCTCAGACGTAGCACAACCCAGACCCAGAACCCACACCACCCTACCCTAAGGCCCCGGCCCAAAGTAGTTCCTTTTTGGGGTTCATATATAGAATCCTCTAAGGTAATCGCAAAAAGGAACTACTTTGGGCCGCTATGGGTAGACCCCAAACCCCAATACTCTGGACCACTATCCGGGAGCATGAGCCCGAGATCCGAAAGAAGCCGTCCAATTCCAGCCGAAATTGCCAGAGACGGCTGCAACTCGTCGGTTGAAGGCCTTGTGAACATGTTTCTTGATTCAGGGTTTACCTTAAACTCCTCAAGATCTCCCCTGTCAACATTCCTTGCTGTAGGACTTCCGTATATAATACGTCTTCAAAAAGAAGGTTGTTTGGGGTTGGTACTAAAGAGGCCTACAAATTACCCATGCCATTTGTGGGTTCCTGATTCTAATGATAGAATAAGGGGCCCCAAAACCCTACTCTCTTTATTAAGGCCCCTATATCCTTAAATCCCTTATAGATCCCTCATAGTAGCCATTTAAGGAGCCCTTTAAAGGAACCTTCTTCTAATCAGTAAGGCCCGTATAGTCGGGCCCGGAAGCCTTGGCAGCGCCCGGAGGTGGACCGATCTGCGAAAAGCTTCGGCTTCATTTTCTGCACCTCGCCTGCAGTTGTGGAACCAGATCCTCTAACATCCTTAGGGAGGGTTGGAAGATCTGGGTACGGTTGATGATATAAATCCTGCATTACCCTGAAGACCCTAAACTATGGGAGTTATGGTATATTCGCCTTATTTTGGGTCATGCAGGGTTTATATCATCAACCGTACTAAGGGTATCTCCGTAACATAAGGTTTTTAAATCGTGCTATGGGATTGTGTATGCGTTGATAGGGTCTTACTTGTTTACTTCGTCACAGTCAGTGCCAGTACCGCCTTTTCGTCTCTACACCTTTCTAGAGCAACATACACAAAGACAAGATGAAGGCCCATACACTGCCCTAACGTGGGTTCTAGCTTGTTAAAGTACACCGAATAAACCTGATGCCGTGCAGCTGAACCCCTTAACCCGAAGACACAAAGCTGATTGCCCGGTGCTTCAACAGGGTATCCCTAACTTTACTGCTGGCTCTAATCCATCGCGGAGCCCAAGGCGAAAATTGCCTGAAACTGGGAACCCGACACCCTCAGGGCGTAAGCCAGAGCCCAAGAGGCCCTCGAAACTTAGGCCGAAAACTCTGCAACCCTCAACCCAAAGCCCTGAGCAGGAGAATCAATACCCAGTTCCCCAAACCCTAAAGTTCTTTGCCGAGAGACCTTGTGTTGCTGGAGAAGATGAGCGACAAGAAAAAGACTTAAGAACTCCTGGCTTCAATTCCTCCTTCCCTGGCATGCTAAGGCCCCTGAGCCCGGCTACAGAAGCAAAGGTTTGATGTACAGCCAGGGCAGGGATTAGGGTTAAGGGGTCTAGTTGCTCAGGGTTTTGGGTTTAGTGTTTGGGCTCAAGGGTTTGCAGGTTTTTGGTTGAGGGTTTAGGTTTGAGGGTTCAGAAGAACCCCAGACTAGTCAAGTTGGTTGAGGGTGCGGTTTTCTGAATTAGGCTTCAGGAGATCTAGCATACGCTCCAGCTGAACCAAGTAGCCCGAAAGCGGTGTCAAGCCAACAGCCACAACTTCCGAAATCCGCAGCTCGGCGTGCCTTGTAAGCGCTCATGCCGGAATCACCCGTGCCCCCGACCAATTACAAGGCAGCGACGCCGGCCGTGCTTGGGACGGAGACGTCTATGTGTCGGGGAAGTTGCTCGATGGTCGGGGGCCCAAGACCGGTTGCTTGCTTGTTTGGAGGGTCAGTGGATTTGAAGATGGTGATGGTGATGATGCTGCATGATGGTGGAAACCTGGAAAGCACCGCGCCTGATGAATCCTGTTGGGGCTAGGTGCGGAATTTCTGGTGGTAGCTATGATAGATCCGACAGAAACAGTGCCCAGCTCCCTAAACCACCCTTAATCCTGAGGCCGCAAACCTTAAACCCAACAAAAGGAGCAAACAACTTAGAACTTTCAATGCTATCCCAACCATGAAATGGTTTAGGGTTTAGGGTTTAGGGTTTAGGGTTTAGGGTTGGTAAAGCCCTAAAGCCCTAAGCCTTCCAGCTGAGGACACAAGGACCTCTGCGTAGGGGACAAAGTCCGCTTCTCTGCCAAGGCTGGGTGCAAAAAAGGGGATTTCTTTAGGGGGTTTTTATAAGTTTTGTAGGTTTTTTTTTGGGGGTTGAAAGTTTAAGGGTTTAGGGATTCTAGGTCTAAGTTTTTGTCGGTGTTCGGTTGCTGTGTGCGGCATTTTGGAAGGGTTTCTATTGGCGTTACACGCGGTTTAGAGGGGGTTTTGGTCTTTAGGGATTCAAAGGTTTAGGGTTTGCTGCTCGGTAGAGCCTTGAGAGGCAAAGCTCCGGGGACCTATTGTAAATACGTGTTTAGAGTTTAGGGTTTACGGGTTCAGGGTTTAGCACAAGGCCCTGCGCTGCACTCACGGGCCACAGCATCTTGGTTTCGGGGTTTAGGTTTCCAGGTTTTAGTTTTAAGGGTTTGGAGTTTAGGGTTTGTAAGGCTTTAGGGTTTAAGCGGTTTCGGGGTGCGGGGCCTTCAGCGTGGTATACGATTGTTCGGGTTTAGTTCAGGAATTACAACCAACCCCGAACTTCAAGTTTAGCAGCCGAGCAAACTCTGTCCTACGCCCACGAGCCAGAGAACCAAAGCGCACACCCAGCACACAGAATACTTACGGAACTGCAATCCTGTCCTGTCTGGGGGTACTCAAAACAAGCAGCTTTCTGACCCTAAACCCTACAGGCCCTACTTGGAGGGTCGGTGGACTTAGTAAGTAGGTAGAAAGTAGACTTATACGTACCCTAAAAGGGACCCTAATTGGGGTTATGGTACTTATAAGTCCCTAAAATAGCCAGTTACTAAGTCCCCCGACCCTCCAAGTAAGCCCTAAAACCGAGACAGGGCCGTTAAGAAGGCTTGTGGTTCAGCTCCGAGCCTCAAGCCCGGAGGCTCAAAAAGCCGTAAGCCTTAAACCCTAAACATCCTAAACCCTAAACCGTAAGCCTTAAACCCTAAACATCCTAAACCCTAAACTGTTAGCCTGAAACCCTCAACACCCTAAACCCTAAACTGTAAGCCTTAAACCCTAAACATCCTAAACCCTAAGCCCTGAACTGTAAGCCGCAAACCCAGAACCCTAAGAAAAGCGCAGAGCCTATCAGGTCGGCAACAAAGGGAAAGCCGAAGCCATGCAGATGGAACCGGTCAGGGAGGTCGAAGAGGAGGAGGCGGAGGTGGTGGCTTTGCTCAAATGGGTGGTTGTCAAAAATAGGGTTCCTTTTTGGTTACCCTAAATAATAGGTGCCGTATTATAATAAGGACCCAAAAAGGGACCCTAATTCTGGCAACCACCCAAATATCAGACGAAGTAAGTGAACACGAACTGAAAACCAACCGTCAAAGTTACATAAATCAAGAACCCTGATTAAGCCCTCCGCCCCAAGCTCAGCAAAACCTGAAGACAGTATATAACAAGGCAAGACAGGCAAGTATACTGTTGAGGTCTGAACAAGTAATAGTCGTATCCCGAGAGGCCTTGTTAAAACAATCTCATCGTCTTATACGCACTTGAGATTGCGGGGACGTGTATCTTGCCTACGATATTCTTGAGACTTCACTGAATGTCGTATGTTCTGACAAGCACGAATTCCCCGAGCTTTTCAGGGCCTGCGGGGCAGGATTCAAGGTTGAGGGTTTAGGGTTAAAGGTTGGACCCTGTTTTGTGTATGTAGACAGACAATGACACTGAACTGCTGGAATCATCTAGAGAGAGCAATTAGCTGGCTTAATTCTTCGTCCGAACTGAAATCGCAGAGCAGGCTTTTGGGGGATCCAGTAATGTCTGGTACCAGCTACAGAAAACCGCAACAATGACGATGTTTATCCCGCATCGCATGGGCCCCATCAGTGTTACGCTCACTGCTGACAATGGACACGGGCTTGAGATCCTTAAACTCAAAAGGCTTTAGGTTTAGGGTTCAGGGGTTTAGGGTTTAGGGAACTCGCCTCCCAAACTTCTTGAAACACCAACATGTTGCAAAGACCTCTTCAAGTCCTTCTTCGCAGCCTGAGCTACCCTAAACCCTAAACTCTTAAACCTTAAACCTAAATCCTAAGCCCATATAATAAATCCTAAACCCTAAACTCTAAACCCTAAACACCTAAACCCCTAAACTCCCAGGACGGACCAGAGATGATCGGCACCATCAAGTCCTTCGATGAATCTTCAGGTAGGATCTAGAATTCGGGGTTATATTGGGTGTACATGGGGTGTAGAAACCTGCATAAAAAGAGGTCATCTAGGGCCTAGGGCCACCCTACACCCCAAATTCTACTGTCTAGTTAGGGCTTGCTTCGGGTTGTTCAGCTTAGGGTGTGCGAGCGGTAGCGTCGGGAAGGGTAGCCAGCGATAAGCTCGGGCTCGGATGTCAGTGATAGCAGTATCGTATGGCTCAGATAAAGAGAGGCGCTAAGGGCTCTAACGACTGGCCTGCACGACACGTGCCTTCTTTGATCCTCCAAGCTGCAGAGTCGAAGCGCCAGTGACCTGCGAGCGAGACATAAGTGAAACTTGCATGCCCGGGGCTTCCCCGGCCGAGCATGACCTGTTTTGATGGAACTTCTGAAATCAACTATTTACTCGTCTTTTGAAACACCTTCAGTGGTAGAGAGTGGTAGAAGTCCCTGTTCTCGCCTTCGTCGAGCCGATTGCATGTGTTCATCTTCGACGATACGCCATCTGTGTCCCATTTTGTAGAACATCTCAAGCTCTTTCAGGCCATTGGTCTTCGTCAAGCTGTTAGCTAGTTGGGCTTCTGAGTGAACCCAGCGGATGACCACATCCGTCCGACGTTGAGCCTCTTTGAGGCCCAAAAGTTCAATCGATGTCCGCTTTTCTGCTCCTTTCACGACAACCACTTCATTCTTCATCTTGTCATACACATTGCGACTGTCCGTCACGAGGCATCCGAAGACCTTGCGAACTGCTAGGTCTGGTTGCCGGAGATCTAACTTGCCGTAGAGGAGCTCCGACCATTGAAACCTAGCGTAGTACAGGTTGTCCTCTCCATTGATGGCTGCCAGCGCTTCTGAAGCGCCGGGACTCCTGCACGTACGGTCTATCTTGGATGAGTGCCATGACATTAGCGAAACTTCACACATATCACCTTGAAGTAGGTTTCGAGGTACCATGCCGATCACAATCCCTTGCGTGCTGCCTCCGTCCACGCGGCTCTGAGCCGCAGCATCTACCCAAGCCACCAAGCCAAGCTCGGCTTCCGGAGTGAAGCCGTGGATGATCATCTTGTGCTTCGCTCTCGCCTTAGTATTTTGCAAGAGGACGTTTGCCCGAATGATTGTGTCGACGGTGCTGTGACTCACCTCAGAAAGTAGTAGGCTTACGTCGGCGCTCAAATGAGGCGCCACCTGTTGGGCATGCCAGCTCAATCCTCCGAGCAGTGCTCGGAGATGGGTTCTCTCTCTCTCTGTGGTCCCTGCTGATCTGTCCTTGCGACGCGTGGCATTCACTCCAATCTCGGAAATTCCATCTAGATACGAGGGCTGAGATAATTCGAAACCCTGGGGCACAGCTTCAATCAACACGCCGCATTGAGTGAACTTGTCTTCTTCCCAATCACCCCAACGAAATCGTTCTTGAATCAGCTTCAACTTTTCACACCATCCAGCATGCGCATCATCTCCTCCGAAGAGGAAATCATCGACATGTCCCGAAATCAATCCTTTCAATTCCCCCCCATCCCTGTAACACCACATGCATGCATCAGAACTGCACCGCTCCATGCCAATGCTTTGCAAGAAAGCATCAACTGTTCGATACCATTCAAGAGGCGCATCAACTAGGCCGTAACAAGCACGCATGATCTGGGTCACACTGTTTTCAGGGAGATTCATGGCTTGACAGATTTCCGGGGTCGGTATACAGTACAAGGTGTCAGGATAATCTCTACCTTGGAGAAACGCTCCCGACACATCGCCCTTCCTTACACGCCACTTTTTCCAAGCAGCCATCTGCAACAGCATCTGCCGGGATTGCCTCGTCATGACGGGTGCCGTGGTACTACGATGTTCATAGCAAGGGTCTTGATACCCTAAGAGCACGGCTCTAGCTTTCGCTTTTCGCGAGCCGTCATCTTTCAACTTCCACGTGAGCACCCACCTCATTCCCACTGCCTGATCTCGGCTCGGCTGAAGGTGTTTCGGAAGAGCTTTGAATGCATCCGCTGATAGGAAATTCTTGACCTCCACTTGTTTGGCTGCTCGGAATTCTTCTTGTTCCTCGGGTGACAGTCTCCTTTCAGAGACTTCTACAGCTTTGCGCTTCATCTGACCCACAAAGAAACCCTCAAAGTTTCGGACCATCTTGAGCGCACCACGCCGGGTGTCCGGCAGGTCCACCTCCACTTCGACCGCCGCTTGGCGGTCTGCCCAGTAGGCCGTATCCTGCTCGGGCCACGCGTGGTCCGGCACAGTAGTCCACCAGCATTCGCCGTGGAGGCCACTCTCTGCGCTCGGTGCTTCCAAGCGGGGCCGTTGAGGCTGTGATCCACTAGAGGCTTCGGGAGCCTCCATCACTTCGTCTCCGGCAGCATCGGCATCTCGTCCACGAGGTGCAGGTCGCTTCTGCCGAAGTCTGAAACGGGATGGTTGAGCCACCTCTGTGGCCTCCTGCGCTCGTCGCCACTCTTGTAGGTCCGGCAAGTCCTTGCTGGCATCCTGAAATTGGTTGCCGCCCAGATTCTCAGCTACTTGAGTAAAAGTCCACGGCGTAGGCTGTCCGGATTGAGAAGCCATGCCCTCCAATAGTTCTTCGCGTTCTGTAGCTCGCCGTAATTGCTCGGGCGCACACTTAATCAAGTTGCGACCTCGGACTAGCCAAACCGCACCGCCAGGTGAAAGCTCGCCGCTTTCCGTCTGACGTGTCTCCGTCGCGAGAATTCGCGCAGGACCCAGAAATCTGCCTTGGCGAGTGCCGGGCTGCCGACGGCCCTTCCCAGATTCCTGGCTTCGCCAGAAGAACACCAGTTCCCCCGGTAGGTAATTGTAGCATGGCCGATGACGTGAATTCATGGCACGGCCCACTCGCTGTTTGGCATTCCACTCGGCATGAATCTTTTCTGCCTCGGCCCGTCGCTCCACAGTTCGTTGGAATTCGCCTTCGGGATTTTCCACTAACAGGCCTGGGGGCAGACCTTGTCCTGCCTCCACGAAGCGATCAGTTTCATCAGCTCCACGTCCCAGGACGTGCTGTGCAGGTGAGAAACCCCGCACCATGTCCCGGTGATTGAAGACCGTGACGGCCTCCGCAAGCGCTCCTTCCGAACTCAATTCAGGATCGTAGGCACACAGACGAGTCATCAGTTCTTTCACGCCTTGAATCGCTTGTTCGCACACTCCATTCTTCCAGTGTGCTTCTCCGGGAATCACATCCAGAAAAACTCCGTGTTTATCACAGTACTGATCAATCAGGGCAAAGCTTCGGAAGGATCCGGCAGGATCAACTCGTAAAGCACGGGGATGTCCGAAATATTGGTGCCAGCCCTCTTGCAGGTATGAGATACATGTGTTCGCCGAGGGCTGCTGTTTGGAACCCTTGCTTAAAATTCGAGCCACCCTGAAGCGGGACCCTTCATCAATCACCAACATGAATTGTACTGGCTCCTTCAGATGTGGGTGTTCCCAGTGACCCACGTCAGCGCTAATCGTACAAAACTTTGGCGGGAGGGGCTCTAAGGTCGCTTGGGCTCTCGGAGGAGGTTTACTTCTTTCTTGACACACAGGACACGAGAACTCCTTAGCCAACTCCAGGGTCCGTTCGGGAGCTCGCCTACGCTTCAGGGCTTCGATCATGTGGGAGGTTCTACAATGACCAGACGCACAATGTAACAAGTAGAGCTGTTTCTTAATTCGTTCGTCTTCACGTCGGGACCGCGTGCTGTTGGGACCTGTCTCTACTGCCAGAGCTTGTTCTTCCTGTTGAAAAACTCCATGCGCAGAACCCTTACCCCTGGACGGAACCCCAAAACCCAACTTTCGCAAACGAGTGGCTTCTGATTGGGACAAATGTTCGAGGCCCCGTGTCACATACGCAGTCACAACCCATCGCTGTCCTTCCCACTCGCACGTCTGGTGCCAGGCTTTGGGGGAGAAGAGACACGGTTGATGCCTAATGCGCTTTCTTGCTCCTTCTACACTGACCCCAGTCTCTGAAGTTCTCACCTCAACCTGGTCAGTCGAACTCTGAAGACCCTCAACCCACAATTCACCCCCTTCATAGGATCCCAAACCCACGCTGCAGTTCGGGAAAGCACTGTCATTGTTCAGGTCCTTGTGTAAGGGAGTCGCCGCATTGACATTGACGGTGAAGCTGGACCAGTGAAAACCCTTTGGGAAATGCTGTCGTATGAAGTCGTTGATCATTTGAACAAACTGAGGTCGCTGCAGGGTTCGGGACGTAACTCCATAATGACTTCCAAACGCATAACTACCAAACGTGAAGTACGATCCGGTTTCCTTGTCCACAAGGTTCCTACGGGATTGGGTGCCATTCACAGCATGATGTTCGAAGTACTTCTCGAGTTGAGGGTAGGTTATCTTCGCCTGACTCCTAAGCTTTTGGGCTTCCTGTTCGCTCACGGACATAGGGACTGGGGTAAGGTGAGTCTCAAAGGCTGCGTCGGGACCTGGAGCTTCTGTTGTTACATCGCCGCCACAAAGAGGGACGGCATCCCTTCCCAGCAAGCAATTCCCGCACTGGAAATTATTCTTCTTCAAGAACGCATCCCCACACGCACAAACTTCCCCAAGCCCAAAACCGTCCGGAAGTTCCGAATCACCCCTGCACTCCTTCACGACACCCCAAAAACCAAACTCTTCCTGAAGGGCCTGAAACACAAGACGCGCAAACTCTGGTGTGTACATGGAAGACGACTTAGCTACCAGACCTTCGCACTTATCATGTTCATAATTCGTGGGGCACTTGCATGGTTTGTGCATAGCCTCCGCAAGACGTCGGTGTGATGTCACAAGTCGCCAACCCTTCTGAACCAATTTTCCGGCCTTTCCTTTCAACCCCACGGAACAACCTCGAACAACCGCAACCTGCAACCCCATGCTATGTTGAATCTCCTGTAGCACCGGGAGTCGCCATGCTTCACACTTGTCGCTCAGTTCTAAAGTACAATGTATGCCAAGATGCAAACACACTCGCATG